ATAATATATTACAAAAAAGTTTTCTACCTAATAACATAGAGTTTGATAATACAAAATAGCATAATGCACTAAATAAAGAGTTATGCCCAGTTAATTCCCCAGATAAACAAAATTTATCTTGGGTATAATCATCTTTTCAAGTACCAGTGGAGGGGTACATGCGTCTTTTCATATACTAGTTGAGGGGTACATGTGTAATTTCCTCACCAAACAGTAAATGCAAGTTGCAAACAGTAATTGGATAGCTCACCAAAAGTACTGAATATATGACTAAGTTTTTTCAGTATATTTACAGAAATGCCACCAGATTAACAAAAATTCGTTTATGTGGCAGATAAACTTGTATTTGCCGCTAAAAAAAGTAACATCCATCTATTACCGTGTAGTAAAATAATTAATAATGAAATTGATGTAATAAAATTACTGTATTATAATATAACATGACATACGTAATTGAATAATATAATAAATACTTGAAAGTACATGAAATTATAACAACTTGGAGTTGAGAATGTGGGAAGTGTAAAACCATAACACTCCATGAGCACAAAAGAAATCGCGTTGAGAATGTGGGAAGTGTAAAATCATGACAATTTTCAATTCCCACAAAAACACGAGAATTAAAGCTCTCCCTTGGTAACTCAAAATTCTCATGGTTAGAAAATATCTATATAACAGCCAAACAAGTTTAGTTAATTGATAGGAAATTTGATGTGGGATTTTAATACCCATAAAATATAAATTCCCATAGGAAATTAATTCCTATGTCAACCAAACATCACCTTATTCATCAACTTGCTCAATATTTTTTTCTCTATTCAACTCACTCTTCTAAAACTTTGGACGGTCAAACAATGCACTTAAAAAAAAATAGAGAATCATATTCCATAGTGCGTAATGATGTACTTCATATAACACAAGGTATTGTAACTACCTTAAAGAGAGTCATGAAGACGAATGATATAGATGCAAGTGATGAAGATTAATATATGATTATATTAGCTGTTGTCCTATATAGTGTATTCCTAGTGTATTAGCTGTATTTTGTCCTGTAATGTCCTTTGTCCTGTAGTACAGCTTGACATGCTGAGTCACTAGGTCAGATCATTCTAGGGATTGATTCCTAGGAGTATATATATGTACAAAGGGTGTAAATAGTGTTGTAATAACAAACACATAATCATTGAGCCGCCATAAGCTTTCTTCCTCAAGACTCTTGCTATTTGCTTCCAATATTAAGGCATATTTGTCTTCATGGTATCAGAGCCAGGTTGCGATTTAGCAAGATAAAAGTGAAAGATCGTGCTCAAAATTTCTTTTTCTTATTCTGTTCAGCATAAAGATTGAATCTTTTCTGCTTTTGTTACCTATTTTTCCTTCTTTTCCTCTCTTAAAAGTTGAATCTTTATACTAAAAATGTCGAAGATGGGCAGCATTCAGTCTCTGTTAAGAAACTGACCGGTGAAAGCAACTATAGAGAATGGAGAAGATCGATGGAGATTAACCTAGCATCCAAGAGGAAACTAGGATTTGTTAAAGGAATGGTGAAGAAAGATGCCTCTGATGATGAATGGGACACATGTAACAGCATGGTGATAGCTTGGCTAACCTGTAACATGACTAACTTTGTTAAAAGAACAGCACAGCTGTTGGGATCTGGAAGCAACTAGAGACTAGATTTTTTCAGACAAATGGTGCAAGGAAATACAAGCGAACAAGAATGTTTATGAGATCCAGCAGAATGGTGAGTCTATCAATGACTACTACACCAGAATCAAGTCATCGTGGGGTGAAATTGAGGGTATGAACATGTTACCTCCTATCACCACCATGACACCTGAAATCAGTACATTCATAGGAGCATTGAATGTGCAAATGGAGGAACAACTCTTTCAGTTTCTGAATGGTTTGACAACTCCTATGCTGCTAAGAGAGGTCACAAGTCACATTCTGATGCAATCCCCTCTACCAAGTGTAGAGACAGCCTGTGCAACCTTGCAGCAGGAAGAGTCTCAGAGAAAAACTCTTAATGAAGTTAAGGGTGAGGGGGAGCCAACAACAGAGGTCAAGAGCCTCGTGGACCTCGCAGGTCAAACAATAGAGAGAGAGATCAGGAGCATCATGGAGAAGGTTGCTCAGTTTGTGGAAGGAAAACTCACTCCGAAGACCAATGCTGGAAGGTTGTTGGATATCCAAAATGGCATCATATGTATAAGAAACAGCAGAGAAAGGAGAGGAGAGGTTGGAGCCAAAGGGAAGTGGAGCAAGCAAAAAGAAGGAAAGTTTGCTGAGATTGTGCAAGGTTTAGTGTCCATTACTGCACAACAACTTGAACAGCTGCTGAAACTTGTTCCCTCGTGCTCAAAGAACATCAAAATTGGATATGACACAGAGGATGAAATAAGTGCGAACTTTGCAGGTATGATCACTTGCTATAATGTTATCAGCACTTAAAATGAATGGATAATTGATTTTGGGGCAACATATCATATGATTGGTGATGCTAAACTCTTGAATACTTGCATACCTATAACTGGAAAGGCTAAAATAAATCTTCCAAACTGGCAATACTGCAGCAATAACTTGTAAAGGTGATGTTGTATTGAAAAATGGGTTAAAATTGTTAAATGTGTTGTGTGTGCCTGAATTCAGACATCACCTTGATGTCTGTGGGAAGATTGATGAAAGATAAGGATTGTGAAGTAAAATTTTACTCTAAATGTGCACTATTCAGGACTGTGCAACTCAGAAAGTAAGAGCAGCGAGTAGAGCTGCTGGAGGGCTATTCTATTCAGAAGATGCTGAAAAGAATAAGCAGCAGAAGAAAGGAGTGGATGGAAAGAAGTTGCAGGGAGATGCAATGAAGCCAGAATGTAATAAAACTAGTCTAGAAATGTGTAATTTGTGGCAAAGTAGGCTAGGACATGCTCCTATGAGCAAGATTCTTGAAATTTGTTGTGTATCTAACTCTAAATTTTCTGCTGATGTTGTGTGTTTGGTTTTCCCTATGGCTAAATTTACAAAGTCACCTTATACTACCGGTGAATCTCATTCTCAGAACTTGTTTGAATTGATTCACATTGATACTTGGGGCCCATACATGGTGAAGACAAAAGGAAATTATAGATATTTCCTAACTATAGTTGATTGCTTTAGAGCTACTTGGGTTCAGTTGCTGAAACTGAAGTCAGAAGCATATAATGCTATTAGAACTTTCATACAATTTGCAAAAAATCAATTTCAGGCATCTATGAAAATAGTGAGATCTGATAATGCCCTGGAATTCAAAGATAGTAAGTGCAGGGAGTATTTCAGTGATCTTGGGGCAATTCATCAAACATCTTGTGTGGATAGACCACAGCAAAACGAAAGGGTTGAGAGAAAACATAGAAACATCTTAGAGATGGCCAGAGCCCTGAGATTCCACGCAGGGTTGGCACTCCATTTTTGGGGAGATTGTGTGTTAACAACATACATTATCAATCGAATCCCAAATAGAATTGATAAAAAACAGTCACCTTATGAGAAATTGTTTGGTAAGAAACCAGACTACTCTCATATGAAAGTGTTTGGTTGTCAGCTATGGCCTACAACCCAGCTCTAAACAAAGACAAGTTTGCTGCAAGGGGTGTGCCTTGTGTGTTTCTAAGTTATGCTCATAACCAGAAAGGGTACAAACTGATGAACCTCACAAATCAACAGCTGTTTGTGTCGAGAGATGTCAAATTCTATGAGAAGATATTTCCCTACAGTAAGAAGTCCTCAATTCAGAAGTACAACATTCCTGCACATATTCAGTTCCCATCAGACGTCCTAGTTACTGAAGAAGAAAGAATGAAGAATCTGAGAATAAGAATGCAGAAGTTCAGGGGGAGCAGGATGATCAACATGAGACTAATGCAGAAAACTTGGAAAGTTCAAATTCAGAAGAGAATGGAGGATCTGATCCAGATGCACAGCAGAATGCAATGGGTGATCATGATGATCATCAATCAGCTCAAGAAGTTGAGCCACCACCTGTACAGATTGATCTGAGAAGATCAACTAGAGAAAGGAGAGCACCATCTTGGTCTGTAGATTATGATATGGGAATGAAACAGGCTCATGCCCCTTGTGTTTTTAGATCAGTTCCAGCTATAGTAAAGCCAGTTTGCAGCCTTCTTGAGTCAAGTTGTCAACCAATCTGACCCCACTCACTTCAAAGAAGCAGTGAAAGAAGAAAAATGGGTGATAGCTATGAATGAAGAGATCACAACTCTAGAAAACAATGGCACTTGGAAAATTACTGACTTGCCAACACGAAAAATGGCTATTGGCAGTAAATGGTTGTACAAAACCAAGCTTAACCCACATGGAACTATATAGAAAGACACAAAGCAAGAGTGGTAGTCCTAGGGTGCAGGCAGAGATATGGAATTGATTATGAAACAGTAACTCTTAGCTGTAGCTGCCATTGAAGATTGGGTGGTATGGCAAATGGATGTAAAAAATGCTTTCCTACATGGAGATTTGGAGGAAGATGTGTACATGACCATGCCAACTGGATACATAGGGTGGAACAGCAGAATTCAAGTCAACACTCAAGGAGAAACAATAGGCTCCAAACCTTCCAAAGTATGTAAACTTAGGAAGTCTTTATATGGCTTGAAACAGGCTCCAAGATAGTGGTTTTCGAAATTATCTACAGCCCTCAAACAGTTTGGTTTCACTCAATCCAAGGCTGATTATTCCTTGTTCACCAAAGAGCACAATCAATCATTTGCTGCTGTGTTGGTGTATATTGATGATTTGCTGCTAGCAGGAAATGATCAGTCTCTTCTCACTGTGGTGAAACAATACATGGCTTCCCAATTTCACATGAAAGACTTGGGAAACATCAGATACTTCTTGGGATTAGAAGTTGATAGGTCACAACAAGGCATATTCTTGTCTCAGAAAAAATATACTCTTGATCCCATCAAATAGTTGGTATGCAAAAGGCAAAGCCTGTAAAAATATCAATGGACCCTCATCTGAAATTGACAGTTGAGAGTGGTGTCCTCTTGCCCAATGCAACAGAATATCAAAGACTAATTGGAAAATTGATATACTTGGGACTGACAAGGCCTGATATCACTTATGCTATAAACTCCCTAAGTCAGTTCATGCAACAGCCCACATCAGTGCACATGCAGGCTGCCAAAAGAATTCTCAGATACTTGAAGCTGGCTCGCAATCAAGGAATATCATTAGCCTCGAACTCAGCAGCAGTCTTGACTGCATATGCAGACAGTGATTGGGGAGGATGCCCTATTACTAGGAGGTCAACCACCGGTTATTATATCTTGTTGGGTGCATCACCAGTGTCTTGGAAATCCAAAAAGCAGCATGTTGTTGCAAAATCTTCAGCAGAAGCAGAGTATAGAGCCATGGCTCTGGCAACCTGTGAAGTCACTTGGCTAACACAGTTACTCAAAGACCTGGGAATGAAGAAAATAGGTGCTGCAATCTTGAAAGTGGACAACAAAGCAGCCCTGTCCATAGCAGCAAACCCGGTTCAACATGAAAGAACAAAACATGTTGAAATGGACTGCCATTTTGTTCAAGATAAAGTAATTACGGTTGAAATAAAGCCAGAGTACATTCCATCATCGCAGCAGCCAACTGATATCTTGACAAAACCCATGAGCATATTGCAAAAACAGCAGCTCTTTTCCAAACTAGGAATCAAATCAAACCATTCCTAGTTTGAGGGGGAGTGATGAAGATTATTATCTGATTATATTAGCTGCTGTCCTATATAGTGTATTCCTAGTGTATTAGCTGTATTTTGTCCTGTAATGTCCTTTGTCCTGTAGTACAACTTGTATGCTGAGTCACTAGGTCAGATCATTCTAGGGATTGATTCCTAGGAATATGTATATGTACAAAGGGTGTAAATAGTGCTGTAATAACAAACACATATTCATTGAGCCGCCATAAGCTTTCTTCCTCATTACTCTTGCTATTTGCTTCCACTATCAAGGCATATTTGTCTTCAGCAAGTTTTATCTTCATACTAGGCCACTACCAATGCACATTTCAGCTAATAAGGCATTTATCCTATCGTTGGCAGCTTCCTATCGTTGGCAGCTTCAAAAAGGATTTTTGCCCTCGTGACTTGGGCATGAGCTCGAATTCTTCTTAGTCTGTTGGGCATCATCAACGCCCTAATACTCTCTGAATGATTCTGTAACTTTGGACATACATCAACATCTCCATATTGAAGGGATGGAAGGGGCCCGACTATAGATTCCAGGTTGTTCAGCTTATAGAGATTCAACCTTACAAGTTTGGAGAAGCTTGTAAGCCCAAAATCTAACTTTTCACCAACATAAGCGTCTTCTAGAGTTAGTTCCACTAGATAACGGAGCCCTTGAAGAATGGGTAGTGGGTCTTCTTTAAGTCGTGAATAGTACAAGTGTAATGAGGTCAAGCTGTTAAGCTTTCCAATCCATTCTGGTAACTTCTCCAATAAACCATGCAAGTAGAGACGTTCGAGTAGAGGAGGTGGTGTTGTTATATATTGTATATCAAGAACCTCATCGTAGCTCATTGATCCTATGCTAAGTGATCGAATATGTTTCATTTCCTCCATTGCACAACACAGTGGCCTCCCATGTTCTTTTCTGAGCTTTGTGATTCGCAGGCTTCTTAACTGCTTCAGATGCCACAATCCATCCACTGTACTGGTTGTATTGGCTTCCACACATACTAATGTTTGCAGCTCTTTGAAATTCTCTAACAGTCCATCTTGTATCTTCACAGCCCTTGTCTAACAACTTTGTGATTACCAAAGTTGAACTCCCTAGGATAAGCAAGAAGATGGCGTAGCTTGTGGCAGTGAGCTAGTTCTTTGGGAAGCTCGACTATAAAAGGTAACTTGAGATCCAGAGTTTGCAAATTCCTAAGCTTTCCAACAGACTTTGGAAGGACTTGGATGTTTGTGAGTCTCAAGCACAAATATTGCAAGTGCTGCAGAATTCCCAACTCTTCAGGGGCATGGTCAATGTGAGCATTTTCAAGGTCTGATACTTTTAAGAGTCTTGCAACTCTTAGGAGCGGGTTGAAGTAAGATTCTGAAGCTATTTTCAGGTTCGAAAGTGAAAGCAGCGAACGAGTACTAGAGCTATTAAGGACCTCTAACACACTCTTGTTAGCAAAATCTTGATTAATACTGAATCGTCGGAAAAGCTTGGTTGATGAGAAATTACTTTCCTTGGTTAAATGTAGACAGAAACCCAAGTTCTCCGATTTTGGAATGATTATCATCTCCCGTAGGATATCATGGACCTTGTATGATTTAATTCTTTTAGTACCAATGGGAAGTAGTCTTTCATCCTCCACATCAACTTCAACCAAATTCCTATTCACAAGTTCGTTCAAATAATCTTCTGCTACCTCTTCAAGTGTTTTGCCTTTTTGATTTTGAACGAAACCCTCTGCAATCCAAAGCCGAACTAATCTGTTTTCACTTACAGGGGAATCTTCAGGGAACATGCTGAAGTACAAAATACAAGGTTTAAGATGATATGGCAATTCATGATAGCTTAAAAGCAGCATTCTTTTAGTGCTTGAGAAGCGAGGATTGCTTCCAAGCTCGGCCCCAATGCCATTATGCACTTTGTTCCATTCAGATAGATTCTTCTTCTTGGTGGACAAAAGCCCTGCTATAGCTACTATTGCTAGTGGCCATCCCTTGCATTTCTCCACCATGTAACGCGCTGACTCTTCAAGATCTTGAGGACAACGTCCTTTACCAAAGACTTTATAAGTAAAAAGATCCCATGCTTCTTTTTTAGGCAAAGGTTCTAGATCATAGACACAACCCCCTCCTAATGATACTTCCCATTCCTGAGCAATATTGTTTTCTCGTGTTGTCATAAGTATTCTACTATCCTTATTATTAGAGGGCAGAACAGCTTTTAGCAATCTCCACAGCTCTGTGTCCCAAACATCGTCAAACACAATTATATAACTGCAAATTATAGGAGGATTGAAATAAATTAGTACTGCCTAAAATAAAGAATTGTGGTGTTAAAATATAAGAAATACAGAATAGCATACTCATAATCTCATAAATTAACACTTCCTCTCTTTCTTAAATAATGCGCCATCTAGAAATGGTGTAGTTATATTGAAACAAAAGAAATACGAAGTATGTAATAAAATAATACGGAGTAAGATTTAGGTTGTGGATATTAAATCATGTAAAGTACCTCATTTTTTTAAGGTGGTTCCTTAATTTACAGATGGTTACTTCATCAGAAGCATCAACTTCTACCAATGGCTCATTGTGCACTTGGTTGAATAGGGTCATCAGTAGATCCCTCCGTTTGTAGGATTGCGAGACAGTGACCCAAGCATAGACGTCAAAACAGGTATTCTCAATGACCTCTTCATACACTTTGCGGACAAGGGTTGTCTTCCCTATTCCTCCCATAGCCACCACTGCAATCACAAAGTGATCTTGCAGCTTCAAATTTTTCCTTACGATTTTCAATTCCAACAACCTCGGAGTCATCCATGAAGAGGGAGGAAACTCGAGGATCTTGCAATTATTCATAACGCTCTTGATGAGAGTCCTCCGTTGTGGTGCTGAATTGATATCGTTCCCTTCTGCTGCTGATCGCAATTATGTCTGTCTTAGTGTCTTTAATTTTGGAGGATAACTCATGCTTGGGTCTCAGCTGTGATACACAAACAACTGCTTTACCCAGCCACCTCCTGATTCTGCTTATCATCTGGTAGGATTGTCGCAGTGGCAGTTTCTGCTGCTGTTTGAGTAGAAGGAATTCATCTATGACATCCTCAATGTCGTAAGCAACTGTTTGTACTTGCATCAGCCACTCATTAATGGTGTCATCTTCTTCCGCTTTCTCTTCAGCATTGTTGAGAACAACTTTGATGGTTCCTAGTTCCATTTGCAAGTCTCTAACATCTCTTGGGAGACTTCCTAGCAGCTCTGCTTCGGCTGTTAACAATGCTGCTAGCTTTTCCAGGGCAAGGCACACCACACTTTCGGCCATTATTTGTTGAAGTTTTGGGGACTGGACAGGTTAGATCAACCCACAAAATAAGGATTCTTACATTCTCAGATAAATTATACAACCCAATAATGATATAAGGAATAACAATCCTCATTAAATGATACTCATTTGCTTTTATGAGCAAAAACAATACTACCTATGAATTTTGCATTAAGTGGGTTATGTAGAATTTGTACTATGCAGTTAATATTCATATTATATATGAATTAATTGAGCTTTTGGCAACACTGCTGATCTAATTTTTAGTTTTTTAGTTGGAGTAGAATGACTAAACACATTTGTTAACACATTAATTTAACATTGATTCAAAACCTAAGGAGGTGTTTGGTTGAGAGAATTTTGTAGTTCAAATTGCATATAAACAGTCAATTTGCAGTTTTATACACCTCAGTACCTCACATCTACAAAAATCCTACAACTATTTGTCTAGTTTCTAAAAAATCAACCTTTTGGACTCAAATCTCACTTCCAATCTTCTCTCAACCAAACAACTACCCATTAACACTCTATATTTACCCAAAAAGGCAAAACTTCTTCTGTAAACAAAACACCATCAAGTAACAATTTCTTTATCTCACTTTTCATTATATAATACATAAGGCACATGAAATTTACAATAATATAATATAAAATAAACACAGTCAGAAGAACTATCAAATAACTTAAATCAGAAATAAATCAAGTCAGAATATAAGTAAGCAGTATACCTTGTAAATTGAAGAGCTCAATAAGCTAGATGAGGTAGCAGATCGGGCCGTCACAATTGGCAGACTGAGAGAATTGAATAGAGAGGACTAGTTGGAATGAGCAGTGATGTTTCAAAATTAAAGTTAACTTTCCTTCCTCGTAATTCCGGTCTGGCCATGTGGTAAGTAGAAATGTAGAATAGTGTTTTCCTTTTTCCCCAAATTTATTATTTATTTATTATTATTAGTGAAGTATGCAATTTGTGTAGTACTCCCTCCATTTTAAAATATTTGCTTCATTTCTCCATTCGTGGAGTTTTAGGAAAATTTGAAGAAAATAATAAAATATGGAGGTAGTAGTAGAGCTGGCAATCCTGACCCGACCCGTGACCCGAAATTGACAAGAAAAAGTAGACCAAAAATTGACCTGAACACAAAGCTGACCCGACCCGACCCATACCCGATCCGAAATAGAGTTGACCCGAACTTGACCCGTTACCTGAATTGACCCGACCCAAATTAACCCGACCCGAAGTTGACCCGATACCCGAAATTGACCCGATACCCGAAGTGACCCGACCCGATTTTGACCGAATTGATTGACCACGAACGGACCCGAAACCCGAAGCGACCCGAACTATACCCGAAATGACCCGATCCAAAATTAACAAATACTCAAAATGACCTAATTGATTTAGGGCTTAATTACTTTACCCAAATAAACACCAATCGAAATTAACCTTAATTAAACAGTATAGTATTGTGTGTATAATACTGTTGAAATGTGCGTGTAATTTAGTACACGTAATTCATGAAGAGTTCCATTTGATAAAGAACACTAGTTATTGTCATTGTTATTATCTACTATTACTCTTAGCTTCTTCTTTTAAGTGTTACGTTGAATTTTTTTTTTCCACTATTCACTTTATCTAATTTGAATTTTGACCAATTTAATGATAGTGATCATACATA